GAAACAATAATTTTACCTTACAGCACGAAGAAGTTGCTGGTGTCGACTTGATAGTTTAGTACGATTGTTATTAAGTAATATAGCATACATGCTTCGACCAAAATTTGAATACATCAGGAACACTACTGGAAAGCTACAGAATCGTATGAAAACCTAAAAAGAAAAAAAAAACAATTACTGGAGCAGTTGTTCAGTTGCTGATGATGATTACATTACATTTGACCTTCGTCTACTAAGGCATCTGATTGTGATTGTCTGAATAAAGGTTTAATTTCTGTGTGCAGCCCACATGGATTTAAAAGACAAATTGTATGCAGAAGTGTAGAAAAGGAAATGCCATTGCTGCAACATCTCCACAAAAGAGATCCTGCAACTCCAAACAGTCATGTGCAGGAGCTAATATAGCAGAAAACCCCTCTGCATGCATTAATCCTGCAATGGCACCAAAAAACTTTCCAAATAATTCCTCATGGAGTGGATCAACAGTGTGGCAGCCACGCGGCAGGAATGTACAGAAAGACATGGGACTGCTGTGGCTACATCTGAAACATCAGAATGAGCAATAATCGAATAAACATGTGAAAAATACCAGAGGGACTCAATCAAGGGATTCCCCGTTACTGCTGTGCAGATCTGGCATCGAACACACAGAGCTAGGATGGGAGAAATCTGTGACACTTGGAGCTGTGGGAACGTTGAGGAACAAATGAGGAAACACTTAGATTATCCCACACTCTGTCGCCCGTCCCGTCTTTTCTGTCTCTACCCCTCACGCCCCTCAACCCCTCCATCTCTTGTCTTCTCACGCCGAGGAACTGTTTTCGCTGTCTCCAGCCCTGTCAACCCCATCAGTTCCCCACCTCTGTCATCCTCCTCTCCTTTCTTCCTCCTCTGTCCCTCCCACCCGCTGGTACTGACGCCTGAGCTGAGCCCCTTGAAGAGTCCTGGTAATAAACTGTGGTGCCTGGGCTCTTCATTGCTGTCTCGCTCTCCCCACCCCTCATCCCAGAGCGCCGATACATCTGCCGTTAAAGCAGGCCCAGTCCAAAAAGGCCCGGCCCCTCCACTCTGTACTGTACAAGCACGTCAGTCTTTAACGTTCAAATGTTTTCCCTCTATTCTCTCTCTTTCTCTTTTTCTCTCTCTTTTTTGCTGCTCAAGTCCTTTGTGTACAGTGCGCTATGCTCACTGTGGCAGCACTGTGCCAGAAAAACCCACACAAACACACACACATACACACACATGTATGCACACACATACACAGTCACAGACACACAGCTGGGCCCCAGCTGCATACAAAGACTGGGGTTTGGAAATCAATGAAGGAGAAAGAAGAAAAGGGGAAAGGAGTTTAAATAAATTGGCACTTGAAAAAAGAAGAAAAACGAGAAAGAGGGAGTGAGGGAAACAGGGAGAGGGAACGCTCTCTCTTAAAAAGGCACATCAACTCAACAACAGAGCAAGTTTTTTTTCATGGACTAACAAAACATAAAGCACAAGGCAATGGGACTAAATTATGTTTGTAAGGGTGCTCATGAAACGCAATCCTTGATCTGATTCAAGAGCGAGGGGATTGAATGAGTCTGATCAGTTGTGCGGATGTCATTCTGATGAAGACGCCTGCTGAGTTTGAGAGCAGCGGAAAGCCTGTACATAGCACAGCCAGAAGACTTTAAATAAATGACATATTTAAAAACTGGAATCTAAACCGTGTTGCCTCTGCGAAGAGGCAGTGCTGCACTAACGAAGTGTTTTTTGTGAAATTCATTAAGACAGGGAACAGATTTTAAAGGGTTGCTTCATTAAAGTTGTCTTCAAAAAACTGAATTGAGCCCTTCAGTAATTTTCTTCAGTTTCTTCATACATGTATTTCACTGTAAAAGAATAGATTTATCATCGCCTCCATTCATCATCCAGTAATTTTATAAAGTTTTCCCTGTGCACAGGAGAGTGAGTACAGCTTATCAAAAAACAATTTTGTTGATTAAAAAACATGGAATGAATGCCACTATTATCTCGCTCTCATTAAGGGAACAGGCAAATGACCCCACAGTGTCAGAATCATGGGTTTAACTGACTGTGTCTACGGGCCTGAAGCGCAGCTAATTATTTCACACTCTTTGAAACTCAGATCTCTCACTCACAGCCAGTAAATACAGGTCATCATTTCAAATGGATACATTTCCTTCCATTGTCTCGGGACTGTTTTCAATCTGCCAGGAATGAAGGGTAGTAATTTCCTCACGTTGCTTAAGATTGGTGAACATTGACAGTTTTATTGAGGGAGACAGAGACATAATCAATAGGCGCCTTGGAGAGAGAAGAAAAGTCAGCCTGTGTTTTTTCTCTTTCTTCTGGTTTGGAAAAGATCCCCAAAATCGCTGTCTTATGAGTCGGGCCTGCCAAATTCATTTGGTTTTATCAAGGACCTTTAACTCCCTACTCGCACAGCCGCCTCCAGCCCAGTACATTCCAAATCCAACACAGAGCTTTAATACACACATTTCTACACTGACACGAGGATGTACTGTACACGCAACGAGCCCTCACTCACACATAAGCATGCCATCAGGGCAGGCATGCATGCAGATTCAGTAACAATTCGTAGTGCAATTGGGGGAGAAAGCAACTTGAACTTATGTCCTAATTGATAATACATGTAGAGTATATTAAATAAAACAGTCTGACATTTCCTGTTTTTTTAGTTTCTCAGATAAATATAAATTTTTAATCATTTTTCTTTACATTCGCCTTTAAAACGCCTCCACTTATTCAAGATGCAACATGAAATGATAAAAGTTACCAGAAATTGACCAGAGGTGATGCTTATCTTTCCTCTGAGGTCACTGCAGGAATTAAAGGAACTGGACTGTTTTTACTGGTGGTCTGATAAGTGACAGGTCCTTGTCAGTAAGTGTGCCTTTTCTGCTGATAGCTGTCACGGTAGTGTGATGTGGCTGATTTGTGGAATAGAGTTAAGTCGGTCGACAAACTGCTACGTGACAGTCAAAGGTGAGAGTGTGCATGTGTGTGTACGCATGCACACACGAGCACCCGTTATCGCGAAGCAGCCAGCGAAGATCTCACCCTGGTGACACTTTGCTGAGCTTCACACCTCCCTGAATAAAATGAGGAAACACTTACAGCAAACCAATAAACTATATAAGTTAACAGGCTCCTTACAGCAAATAGGTTTATGGCGGTTGTGTGTCACATCAGAGGCAAACAAGCACGCCGCATGGTTTGCAATGGCTTTCATGAACCTCAAAAGAGTTAGGAATAAAAACAGCCATGTTTGTGTTTGTGTGCTCTGTTTCTGAAGTGAAAAAAAATATCCTCTTAGTGATAGCAAGATGACAAAAAACATTAGACACTGACTTAATTATGTGTTTTTGTCTTGGTTTATGGCTATGTTTGCATTTGGGATGATGGTTAGGTTTGTTTGGGGTATCTCACAGCTTCTCCTGCATCACCCAACAACTTTGCATTAAATACAGAGCCAGCAGCAAGGCACTGGCTGGCACACGTCGCCCGCAAACCCCATCAGTATTAGGAAAATTTAGTTTTATTTGGGTTTAAGGGTTCAAGGTTGGGTTTTCATTTTGGCTGTTTATAAAGGGGTTGCAAGTTAAATTAAAGGTTAGAGAAGCAGTCAGTGTTGTGGATAATTTCTGTTTGCTTTGGGTTCGGGAAGTAGGATCTGACTCTCACATAAATTTCCAGTCCTTATCAGCTGAACAGAAGAATAAATGTTTATAAGTGCATCCATGAACAGGTGTGTGTATCCTTACTTGTGTTTGTGACTTCAAAGCCACACACACAAACAAGGAACCACCAGATGCATAGAACAAAGTTTGAACACAGTCTCTTAACTGGGAGAATACTGCTCAGAAGTTCATCTCAGTACTGCTGTAGGAAGCATTCACAGAAACTGATAACTGACATCATGTATAGCTTTAAGGTCATCTCAGGCTTACCACATATTCTAGATAAGGTGATTGATCGTCATGTTAGAATTCAAACTGTGCAGCCGAATTAATCCCACATGCACACGGTAAGCTGCTATAAATAAATGCATGCTTGAAAAACCTTTATATGTGACAGAAAAACTACATAGAAACACCAACTGTGATAGATTTTCAAATGTAATATTTTACTATCTGTGCAGGTTTTTATCATGCAAATGATTATGATTATGAGATCTGACAAAAAAAAAGTTGGGAAATGTACGACACTGTAGCTCAAGTGAAGCCTCGGGGTTAGATCAGTTGTAAATCCCACCTAAGCTACTTTTATCTTATTACTTGTGATGCAGTTTACTCTATATTTAAAATGTGTATCAAAACAGTGTCAAACGTGTGAAAAATAACATGTCATGTTGCATAGGAGGACACAGATAGGTAATAAGGGAACAAGATCCTAGAAAGTTTAAGTCTCAAAGAAAGTCACAGAAAGGTGCACCAACAGTGGACTGTAAGAAGTGTGTTTGATGAAAAAATATTTCTTACTTAAAATAACAAAATCAAAGTCTGACTTTAAGAGAAGTTTTTAAGACTGAGAATCCATCTGAACCACTGATGATTTACCATTGATTAAGAAAATAACTTTTTGAGGTATATAAAACATGGAATGGTCATGAGATTTCACAAAACGCATGCAGCCACAGTCTGTGGGCTTTTATTTCAGGGTTTTGCCCAGATGTGCGCACAGGTAGAATAATCCCAGCGGATGCCAACCTGACGAAAGTTGACTGCTCATACCTGCGATTTATGCTGTGAGGCAATCACGAGCCATGAACGCAAAAAACGTGAAACTGAAACATGAATGTAGTCAAACTGCTGTGCAGCAAACTACACAGCCATAATACAATATTTAGAGTTAGTTTTTCAACAGACTGCAGAGGGAATCAATGCGGATGGCATGAGGGCTCTCTATCCGCTGCAGCAACAGCTGTCTGCATCATTTACCAACTTATTAAAACTTTACAGCACGTTTCTTACCTCGATTCCTCCTGGGGTTGGCTTGTTTCCTCCGCTTGCCCCTGCTTTCTTCTGTCATCATCAAGCTTTATTTCGTCTCACAAAAAGTTGTCCAGGGGAGCGGTGCGACTGTGTGTTTGTCCTGAGTGCCTGCCTGAGAATGAATGGTGATGAGGCATCGCCTTCGGTCACAGCGGGAGACTCAGACCTTGATGGGACTCCAAGCAGAGGCGACGAGCCGTGAGGAGGAGTGATGTCAGCAGCAGAGGTTGGCCCTGAGGTTAGTCTTGGCATCGTGAGCTGAGCACCTTCCTAATTTGCAAAGGAGTCAACATTAGTGAGACCTGTTCTTTTAGCCTACAAGTTATAACACCCGTTATACTTTGACAAAGCATTGTCCCGAATCCGCCACATTGCACCTCCTCTTCAGAGAGGGAATCCCGACAGCGGCGATGTATCAGCATGTTCTCATTTTCTCCATCTAAACGTGGGGTTACACTTCTTTTCCTCCGTGCATCACATAAAGAATACGTTGTAATTTACGAATACAGCTTGCGCATTGCTTCTGCGTAATAAGTCTAAAGTTTATTGCTAAGTTATTTAGAGGGAATTGGGCTTGAGGACTTAATCGATGAATTGCGATTCATGCTTGCTGTTTTTCCATCTTTACTTTTCCTCATTACATGTGCAATTTTGAAGCAATCAGATCAGAAAAGCGTCTTGAGGATCTGCATCTGGATCTGGAACGCAAACTCCTCACAGAGAGAGCTTAGTGGGCACAGCGTCTTAACCCAAATCCATGGGCTCCTCTACGAGGTGCAAATGGGGCTGTTAACTCCATTTTGCTACATTTTCAGCACGAGGAGATTACTCTAACTGCAGGTTAATGACAACAGGTATGTGCGCACCCCCTCTCTCCAACCTCCCCACCGTGTTTTATGGCTCGACTGTTATGCACCTCGCACCTGCGCTCAAGTACCCTGGAGTGGACCCCGTCCTGCGCCCCATTCACCCCTGGATGGCTGTAGGAAGTGGTGCATTGACAGTCCTTTGTGTTGCAACCTGGACCGTAATCTGTTTTGCAACTGAAAAAAACATCCGAAATAAAACTCTAACGCGGCGTTCAGGACCCCCACCTTGGCTTTCTAGTGCCCCCCACCTCTTAGTAACTCTGCGAGATAATGCAAGCAAGCCGGGTAGCTTTTCACGGCGTATAATGTGGCCTGCTATAGAGTCTGTGCGAAGTAAACAAACTGGGAAGTAAAGGACAGATTACCCACACAGACTTTTTTTAAGACAGATGATTGTAACACTAAATCCCCCACGACAAATTAATTATAATCATACATGAATTTAGGAGTTAACCACACTATAAAACATATTGGATTAGTATAAAAAGTCACTACAAATTAATTGTTTTAGTCCATGTAGATATATTATGAAACAAGAGACAACTAAATGCACAAAAAAACATCACACACATCTAGGTAATACAACCATAAGACTTCACATTGTAGCATATATTTATTTTATAACTCCACAACATAATTCTGACTCCTTCCCTTTCTGTATACCCAACAATAACTTCAACCCCAAGCACCTCAACACTGCTACTTATTCAACACTGCATGAGCCCAAGGTCACATTTTCAGTGACACCTTTTTCGCTACATCATCAGCTCATGGTGGAAAAACAAAAATACATCCCCCCTTTCTTTCCTTCGCCCATCGTGGCTACTGCTGGGGGTTTGTCTCTTAATGGATTCTGGAAGAGAAAGCATCCTGAAGGTGGGGAGGGAGCGGAGGGCCGAAGAAAGAGAGGGACAGAGGGGTCATCACGGCTCTTTGTGGTGGGATGGATAGAGGAGAGGGAGGAGAGGAGGTGGATGAGGAGGGGGCAATAAACTTTGCTACAGATGAGGGTCACAGAGGTGCAGAGGTGCTTCAGAGGTCCTGGGAGCTGCTTTTTTAATAAGTTATGGTTATATGTGTCCACGCGGTTTTTCAGTGCTTTGGGTTAAGTGTTTTTATAATTCAAAAAGTCAGATGAGTTTGATCAAATGATACATTTCTTACATCTGATTTGTTTAAATGTATAGTATATAATTGTACAAGCAACCTGAAGTTTAGAGCTTTAGGTTTTATTGTGTATGCAACTTTAATAAAAATGCCACACTGCACTTCTTTCGACGGGTTTAACCAATCAAAGATAAATCAATCATTCACAGAATAGCCCTCTTAATTTACATACTTCTTTTAGATGCACTTAATTACGCACCGTTTGAAGGGTTTATTCAGTTGATTACTGATGGACTATGACTAAGATTGGTATGTTTATGCACAGTCTTATTTTGGTTTAATAGTTGTGCGGTGTAAAATGAGGACCCAGCAATGCTGCGGCGGCATAGGTTTAGCTTTCTACTGTCTTGTTAAAACAACAACACACACACATGCACACACACACACACACACACACACATACACACAAGGAGGACTATGGAGGAAGCAGTCCCACTGGGGTTTTGTCCCCGACTGTGGTCTATGGTTCAAAGCTTCTTGCATGGGGAGGAGAGCCCTTAAACAGCATATTAAGCAGGAGTTAATTATATGCCAACCTAAGTGACAAAGGAAAAGAAAAGCCTCCCTCTGAATGGCAAGACAAGAAAAGAGAAAAGTCATTATGCTGCCCACTTCTTTGCATTTGAAAAAACTCTTATTTTGGCATTTCCATTTGTAACTCTACAGAAAAGAGCAGATCACATTGTAGAGAGGCGAAAACACTGTCTTTGCATCAGCGCCGTCGAACTTTTTACATTAAAGCCTAGGCTATAGCTCAAACCTGTTCAAGAATATAGTATGAAAATACAAAGGCGTGCTCACTTTCTAATTTTGTGGTGAGAAAGAAGCTACGGTCATTTTGCATAACAATCACTTTGGCCTGAGGCAAGAGACAAGACAATGTTTCCAGGAAATGTATCAGTGAAGGTCACAAAGCTTTAGATCTGAATTTATGTGGCTGTGTCAAATAGGTAAAGTTAAACATTACACAAATACAGCAGGCCTATTTAATATTTACATCAATCATGTGTCCAAAGCTGGTTTCTTTCAGTCAGTAAACCTCACTGCAATGATGACAGTCTGAATGTAGTTTTCAAGAGTGAACACCACTTCTAATGTGTTGTAGCCTACATATTTCTGATCTAGGATATGATCTGGTACATTTTCTGGGTGACTTTTATCAAGGTGTATGGGTTATAGTAGCTGTTTCTTGCACTGATATTTTCACAAATGTATTCAACATGTTGCAATAGACTTGTGAGCTGTAAAATGTTATTCTTCCCCCTATTATCTCCTATCAGCTGTCCTCCATGTCAACACCCCATTTGACCCTGTTGTGGGGGATTGAGCTATTGTTTCAAATAACAAATCTGGATAGTTTATGCCAGATTGCAGATCAGTAGTCCGTCAGGAGAACTTCCCCTCGCCTTGGAGCATATGAGTCAACTTCAGCATCACTGCCAGGCTGTAGTGGCTGCCGTGAGTCTACTGTGCCATGCCACAACACCACAATGCCAATATAGTCTAAGCACACTGAGGCCCCTGAACCGAAATGAGCCAGTACTGTAAAAAGTAATGGTGGTGATACTGTTTTAAAAATATCACATTAAAAAAGTTACCGTTTTAGTTCACCAGAGAACATCGGATTACATGGCAGCGTTAGCACAGGACAAGGTGTTACATAAAGTGACGAAAGTAACGGGACAAGATGGAGAAGTCCGTTACTTTCTTAGGCTATGAGGATATTCTGATATTGTACTTTGATACTGGAGCGTATTGCCACTTACCACAGGCGTGTTAAAATCGTCAGGACATTTTCAAAGTTTTCTTGTAGTCAGTTTAACCCATTATTCTGTTCGCTAAAAGTGAGAGTTAGCTAGTTTAGCTAGCATTAACTGCTAGCCGATGCACTGTTGCTATGGTTACCGTTCTTGCGCACCTATTTAGAGAAGGCCATGCGATTTGACCGGGACTATGTTTGTTACATGATTTTAAACTGCTCGACAAGACATTTGACATGTATATGTTTAGTAGCAATGGAGTTATTTCCCAAATTGAATTACAAGTATCTATGATAAGATTATTACTTTTACTTTGCTGTAATGTAGCTAAGTAAGTAGTTCTGTGTCTGGTGGAGGGATACTTCATTGGGTCCCAAGCTAAATCTGAGAGGTGGCAGGGTTATGTAAGAGATGTGAGAGAGACAGAAAATACACAAAATGAGATTTCTGTTTCTTTATGTTTTTTCTCTAATTATGCTTCAGTCTGAGGGGGAAAAATCACTATTTGGTTACACTGCTCATAACTCACTTCCACACTACCATATCCTGTGATGTGAGGTCACAAATAGACATGAACTCATTTTATGGAGTCACAAGCAAAAAAAAGACTGGGAAACCCCTGGTGTATACTATCATATAAAACAGTGTTATGGGTATGAACTTTTTTTTTCTCCCATTTCTTTCCCACCGTCTCCTCTTATTTGATGTCATGTTGATAATATTTTACGAGCAAGTCTGTGTAGTTTTTCTTTCTGAAAGCATTCGGCGGCCCAAAGTGCCAGTCCCCACTGACCACAGAGAGCCCGTCCAGGCACTGATGTCACCAAGAGCAGCCATTTTTAATGCTCATCCACTTACTTTCTGTTGCAGACTAGCAGATCCCTGCAGCTCATAATAGGCTGTCGTGACAGGCAGGTTTTAAATCATACTCATAACAAGGGTTTTTCCAATTAGGATAAAGACAAAAGGAAAGATGATTTAGGATGAATGTCCTCTGCTTTGTCATTTGGTTAGGCTTTCAGTAATCTGGGGGTAAAATGTTGGATCTCCATTATGCAGAATATAGTTTAACTTCTTACAGGGATGTTTTATGACGCATCTATAATATGATGTATTTAAAGCATGACCTCTTAAAACTTACCACGGTTTATGTGCCTATAGTAACTGTAGCATTAGTGGTTTTTTGCACTAATATTTTCACAGACTATAGTTTAACTGCCTGCTATAGACAATGTGTGCAGCATTCAAGTTACGCTATGGGGGCTTCTTTTGTGGTGAATGAAAGAGAAATTCTGTTGGCTATTTTTCCTTGTTCTCAGGCTGTGCTGCACTCTATTGGAGGAAAGACGTCATTGCATTAATCCATCAGGCACAGTGACATGTCATCCAGCAGAGCAGGCGTTATACCCATGTCTGTACTTAAAACCTCCATGATGTGTACAGTGTATAGATATGGCTCATCACAGTATTTCAGTAGTATCAGTGTGTGCTGTAATAAAACACACAGCCACATCACTTTACAACAACGGACATGAAAAGAAGAAGTTTTGACAAACCCTCTGCATCCATCCCACTGAACATCTTTATTCATAAACTGGTAAAATATAGCACATTTGTATAAAAATGTAGAAAATTGTACACAAAATATAACACTTGGCTTTTGTCTATTGTAGTTAATGCTACTATTATAGCTTTCTGTTGCTAAAGGTGATAGTCTTTTGCCAGCAAAAAAAGTCAGAATAAAGGATGACAGTTATAAAAAAAATGCACACATAGAAGGCAACATCCATAAAGTTCATTAATATAAAAAGATAATTTTATACAAAACATCTCATACATTCTAAAGAACAGCACTATCAGTCAATGTTCATGCCCCTATTGCTAGTGTTAGTGTCGTGTTAAAATAGACTATTTGTGCATCTTGTTCTCAGTCACTTTAAGGTGTCTTTGGTAGGTTGTACACTTTTTCCAAAATGCAGAAATGTTTATTCCCGCTAATGCTTAGTAAACTTTGAAGTGAGGCGACTATTTTACTCTGACAAGTCTCGTGAAATGCTGAAGCAATACTTTAACGTGGCCTTATTGAGCCTAGCTGTGCTCAGATGTGTTCTTGAATGACTATTAAAAAAATACTGTGATATTTCTTTATCGCTATCAAAATGAGGTTCACGTGAACAGTCACAAGAGACAGAGACCTTTCCACACAGTGCTGTAGTCAGTGCAAAGCCACAGTGTAAAATTAGTTCTCCTATCAAGAGCTGCAGCCTTCTTCTGTATGATACAGCTCAATAGTTGCAAAAAACAAGTACCTCTGTGTACCCATGATAATATGTGTTTCATTAAAGTGGTAGCGACTGATAAAATCACGCTTCTTGGCTTCCTATCCTTATTTAGTAATGCAGAATTTCCAAATAACTCCTCTTTGGGATTAGAGCCAAAGTGCAGCAGCACTGTATTATGAATGTACCTCAAACATAGGCAACTATTACTGATCTGCTAAGACATACACACCAGCTGACTCGGGTTTCATTCAAAATAGCCGTCATCCTCAGCTGAGTCATGTACGAGTCACAGGTCAGGTTAATGTTTGAATATATCAGACATACTGTAATGTAGAGGGGACTGTTGCACATATACAATATTTGAGCTTTACTTATTATCCCCTATGTATGTACCTTAGAAAGAGCAAATAACTTTCTGTTTTGCAATTATAAACACCATGGGGAAAAAAATAAGTACACAGCTGCTTTAGGAACACTTACAGTAAACATGTGGAGTGCAAACTCTCTGTCTGGAAAGGCAGTTACAACATACATGTAATCTGAACACCAAAGATTCAAACACCAACGAGTCCTGAGTGTCTATGTGTAGGCTGTGAGTGTTTGTGACTGCATTTGTGCATGTGTGGGAATACTGATATGCCACTAGAGTGTGTTGTTCCTGACGAGGAAGAAATCCCTAGCAATACAGATTAATATTTAGTAGCACCGAGAAATCATTTCTCAATCACTAAAAAGCATAACTTTAGTCTTCACTCAGCTTCTCAGACAACCACCTTAGAAAGTCCCGTCTCAACATTGGCCTTCAGGATCCAAGCAGTCTATCACAAGACGGAGGATGATTTACCCACCGTCTCATTGTCATATACACAACATATATAAATGTATATAAAACGTATTTACATGCATCCTTCTCTGCTCCACTGTTGCCACAGCCCCATGTGACCGGAATGCCTGTTTCGGATAAAGTTCAGTATCAATTTCATATCAGGCATATCGCTCTGTGTCTTACAGTAAGGCACAGAAAAATACCAAGTACCAAGGCAGCAAAGGAACAATACAGCGAGGGAGGTTGATCAGGCACCTTTGGCTTTAAGGTTTGGGGTGGAGATTCTTAACACTTTTGAAACCTGTGATAGGATCACAGCTTAGTCTCAGCTTCCAACCAAAATATACTTTAACCTGTCATTATTACTGTTACATGTGTATCCAGTAGCAACAGACCCTACAGAAGTTCAAGATCCTGGCTCGAATAAAGGTTCATGTGTTGGGTTTGTGTGTAAAGGCTTATGGGGATGTATAAAAAAGCCCAGACTCCTGATCCATAGCATGAAATGATCCCCTCAAAAGTTTGTCTACCTTACCGTAACTTAACTTCCTTGCAATGTACCATGTAAAATCAATATGAGCAACAGCATTTAAGTGTTTTAAATCCCAGCCCGGTTACCTCGGACGTTAGGCTGCATACATTTCTATGTGGGATCTCAATTAAAACATTAAGAACTGGTCAAGGCCTCAACTTGATTGGTCTGGAAAAAAGATACCCCAAAGTCTCCTTCTAAGACAGTGTGTTCAGGTATTTATTCTCCCCAGCCAGCGAGGTAAGCATGGACGTCATGTCGCCTACAGCCATGTTAGACAGGCCAGAGCCTGCAGCTAGACTGACAGAAGTCTGGGGCGTGGTGAGGCGGGATGAGGCCTGTGAGGAAGACCCTGGCTGAGCCTGAAGGGGATTGTTGATTGGGCTGAATGAGGAAGACTCAGCATCATCGATGATGGAGGTGAAATCTATACGCGCATTATCAAGGTCCAGGTTTTCTAAGGCATTGGAGATGGGGCCAGATTCAGGATAGGGAGCCATAGGGGCAGGCTTTGTGCCACCTGTTGGGTCCAGGTTGGGTTCCATACTGTGCTGCTGGTTGAGACAAGGTCCATTCTGGGGGTCCATGTGTTTGTTCATATCCATGTTTATCTGACCTGAATAGTACATGTTGTTGTTGTTGGAAGGAGAGAACATTTCATTTTGCTGGTGCTGTGGATGCTGAACTGGAGGAAGTCGGACCGCTCGCCTGGGGCTGGAAGTTGAGTGGACGGGGCTGAGGTGGGGTGGGCTGCCCAAGTAGCTTCCTCCTGCCTGTGACAGGCTGTTCTGGCGGCTGAGAACTTTCGGTCCCGGTGGGGGCCTGGGGACCACCATCTCCTGGCCATAACAGCCTTGGAGACCTGTCAGCTGTTGGTCTTTAGGTGTCACAGAGCTGGGCCCTCGGCTGTGGGATGGAGGGCTCATAACCAGGTTCTGGTTGGGGTAGGACGGATAGGGCTGGTTGGAGTAAAGATTCTGGTTTTGGTGCTGTGGACTGTGCTGCATCATCGCTGTCTGGGCATTCATATCAATGTTATCAGATAGAGGAGGAGGCTTTATTCCACTCTGCTGCTGCTGTTCTTGTTGCTGCTCCCACATGAGTGCTTGCTGTGACTGTACATAGTTCCTCACCATCATCTCCTTCACCTGCATCATGGGGGTTTCTGACCTCTGCCCATCAGAGAGTGTAGTACCAGCACAGCCCAAGCTCAAGCCCCCTCCACTGGGGAACGAGTTCTGGTTCTGCCCTTGAAAATCACAGCTGGGATTGTTAGAGTTTCTCATCAGGACCTGGCCTGTCTGTTGTGGGTAACCCTGAGTCTGCTGGACGAGCATACGCTGCTGTTGGAGCTTAGCACTTTGACAGGCATTCCCACCTCCCATCCCAGGGTGGAACTGCTGCTCAGGCTTAATATTGAGTTTGTGGGTTCCATCAGGACTGTTGTAGAGGCCTGTCTGATTGCTGAAGTGAGCATGTGTCTGTTGAGGCTGCAGGCTAGGGTCTGAATACTGCATTCCTCGCTGGTTCTGGAGAGCATGGTTGGAAGTTTGGATTTGGCTGTGGGAATCACTCCAGGCGCCTCCAGCATCACCACTCTGGCCTATGCTGGGGTAATGGGGGCCTGAGGGACTTAGCTGGCAGGTGCTCATACTGTATTCGGCCTGTTGGAGAAGTGTATTAGACATACCCTCTGAGTGAATAGGCCTTGCTTGGCCCATTGGATTTCCACCAGCCCTGGAGGTGACTTCCCCTCCTTGGTTCTGGTAGTGTCCTTGCATGTAACCCTGGTCTGGGCAGCTCAGAGAATCATGGCTTGGAGACAGTTGGTTTCCAAGAGAACCTCCAGCTACTCCAAGAGTTTGATGCTGTTGCTGGTATCCAATGAAGTTTCTCTCTCCTGGGGGCATCATCATGGAACGATCCCTAGCATCCACAGGAGCAAGGTGGGGCTCTATACCCATAGCTTCCATCATTACATTCTCCGTAATGCTAGGTGGCCGAGGGGAGTACAGGTGGCGGGAAAGACTGGTGTCAGAGCCACGGTGCTGCAGCGCATTCCTTCGGCCCATCATGGCTACATTATTAAGGCTGTTGAAGCGCTTGGGGAGAGCTTGTGGGTCAGCTACTGATCGAACCGGGTCACTGGCTCGCCTACTGTTGTTACCTGGAGCCTGGTGAGGGTAGACAACACCAGTGCCATACTCTGTGTTGGCACTGTGCCTACGTGGACCACCTTGTTGAAGGAAGGGAGGCAGAGGCTGCCCCCGGTACTCACTCAAAACACCTCCTCTTCTGCCTGGGGTGCCTGGCTGCTCCATATTGGGTAAAGGAGTAGGTGGCGGTCCACCAGTTGCTGCAGCATATTTAGCCTTCAGGCTGTATTGCTGGGCAGGTGTTAAATTAGGAAGACCTGGCAATCCTCCTCCTCCAGGACATGGAGCTCCTCTGCGATTGGTCTCAGGAGATAAGGGGTCTCCTCCACTCTGCTCTGGGCCAATGAGGTGACATCCACCGCCACCTGTTCCTCCCATTTGTGAGACCTCACTGGAGCGACGGCTGGACAGATAAGGAGACACCATGGAGGACCGACGGCTGACAGTATATGCAGAGCTTAGGCTGCTGGTGCCGCTTCCTCTTCTGTCATTAGAGGAGCAGCCAATCGAGTTGCCACCTCCTAACTCGTGATTGGACAGTTCCATGACTCGTCGATTTGAGAGGAGTGGAGAAGGTGCACACATTCCCATGCTCTCCCCTGGACCTGTAAATGAACATACAGATGGAGGAAACAGCTTAGAAAAAGTTCCTCAATATAAACCAAGAATGTAAATTGAGATGTCCCACTGAAATGATCCCTGAATCCTTTTTCAGTCATAGGCCAGTCATGTTGTAACAATTCAACTTTCAGGCCACCAAAAATCTATTTTGAGCAACAACTTAGACTTCACTGATTAACACTAAGAATATGTCCACAACAGAGATCTGTATATTTAATCAGAGAACATACCAGGAAGTGCAGGTAGCTTGTTACTGGCACAGCGACCAGGAGGGGTCGGCCTGCGGATTTGCTTCAGCTTGTCAATCTTCAGGTTCTCCAGCCTCTTCAGAGCCTGTGCTGACATTCCCATTGTTCCCACACTTCCTGGCTCCCCTCCTCCACCTGCAACTCCATCCTCCAGTGCTGTGAGATCCTCCAGGCTGCCAGCTGCATTTAGGTTCATCTCCACTCCACTGTCATTGTTGTTGGCGCTCCCCAGTGGAGAACGTTCACTACTGCAGGAGGACTGACCACCCGGGCTCGGCTGGGATTTCTGAAAGACGTAATATAATGTATTGCCATGACAACCCTTTTCTAATGGCAGGAAAATATGGATGGATGTGCTGCTTTTAATACTGGACCAACTTAAATAAAATGCATCACTCACCAGAGCAGTCTCAGGAGCCAATAGTTTGCAGTCCTCCCTGCGTGTCTCTTCTTTCTCCAGCAGCAGTTCAGAGCTCTGGCCTCCCGGGGTCATAGCTGTACCAGGGGGTCGAGGTCCTGTGTCTCCACGATGCTTCTTGGTGATGTGGGCTTCAGGGCCGTGCACCGTCTTTACATGTTTACGCAAAGAGCTTGGATCTGTGTACCGCTTAGTGCAGCCGGGAATCTTACATACATAAGGTTTCTGTGAAAGAGCAAAGCATCTGTCAGTCTGGAGAATTGTGTGAACACAGTCTAGCATACCAACATTTACTTTTCTTGTAATGAAAATGTCTCTCAAATGTAGCAGTTTACTATATTTGGCCCAATACAAACTAATATCAGTGTATTTTTCCTGAATTGACTTTATCAACATTCAAAATATTTAGTAAAGCTCTCTACAGTGTTACTTTTAATAGTGTATAAAGCAGGTCAATGTATTGTTCTAACTAGATTACTTTTGAGTGGTGCAAACTACACTACCTCATTAGAGTGAGTTCTGTTCTGGTGCTTGGCCCGGTCTGAAGCATTGGAGAATGCCTTGTTGCAGCCTTCATGTTCACACACATAAGGTTTCTCTCCAGTGTGAGAGCGCAGGTGGGTCTTCAAATTCTCCAGGCGAGAGTAGGCCTTATTACAGCCTTCAAACTAAAACAGAAATATATAGGACAGTTTTATAACAACAGCCAGGGTGTGAGAAAGAGAGCAACATCCCATAGCTAAACAGAGACAGAAACAGAGACAGAGAGTACACAGACAGAGACTTAAGATACACTCACAGTGCACTTATGTGGCTTCTCTCCTGTGTGTCTGCGCATATGAACCACCAGCATGTACTGGGCTTTGAAAGGCCGCTGTTCTCGAGAGCACTCCTGCCAGTGACACACAAACTCCTTCTTCTCTCCATGGATGTGCTCATTGTTGATGTGCTATTGGGTAGACAGATAAGCAGAGGGACATATTAATAATCAAAGTGATATGGCATAGATATGATTTTCCCAGCCTTTTTGTCTCTCCATCCTGCAATATCTATGGGTTGCTGTGTCTCTCACATGAACGAGCTGGTCTTGTGTGTCAAACTCCTTGTTACAGCTCTCCCAGTGGCAGTTGGTTTCATAGATGGCCTCTGGTTCAGGCTTCCCGTCCTCCTTGTCCAAGTCATCTCTGCCATCCAGTAGACCCAGGAGAGGGTCCTAATGAAACACATAGGTACAGATCAGAAGGTCATGGCTCACATTGAGGGAAAAAGTGTACAAATAGAGGCAAGGGGTTATTTGGGGCAAGTGGGGTAAAGTCCCATCTGCTGAAAACTATATAAAAAAGCGTGTTTTTAGTAGTACTAAAGAATTTAGAAATGTATATAATTCTGGATCTAATTAGTGCTTGCAACTAATATTTTGAATTTCCTTCCTTTACACAGATCTGAAGAAATTAAAAACAATAGTCACACCGTTTGGTTGAAAAGTGTCTTAGTCTATGGGCACAAGGGACTACTGTTTTTTTTTCTTTATGTTTAATTATATTTTAGGACAAAAAATAGTATCATGTGCCCAAAGACTAAATAAAGTATGAGAAAGAGCACAATCAAGTAGGCCATTTGGTATCTTTGAAGTCACTGGGGATGCAGTAGCTTAAACCTTAGGGACCTGGGTTGGGAACCAGAGGGTTGGTGACTCAAGTCCCCATCAGGACCAAATATGGAGCATGGACTCATAGCTGGAGAGGTGCCATTTTGCCTCCTAGGCACTACTGAGGTGCCCTTGAGTAAGGCACCATACCTCCAACTGATCAAAGCACCTGACCATGGGCAGCCCCCTCACTACAACATCTCTACATTTATGCATGTATAGGTCCTGTTTGTGCATGTGTGTGTATTTCAGGTTTCTGTGTATATGACAACAGAATGAAAACACTGAATTTTCCTTGAGTATATCCTATGTTAAATATCAAACATACGCACAAAAATGCAGTGTATTTTCTTTTTTATTACAGAAGTTATTTAATTTACACGTTTATATTCTCCTTCATTTTTAAAAATCCTGACTTTGACTATTGATAAAAGTGTTAGTTTTCATGTGATCTACAAATTTCAGAGTTGTAGCCTACTGTTAGATACTTGCCCAAAGTATGTCTATACCCACCAGATTTCAAGATTTTAAACCACATTGAACAAAAGTTGTCATACAGCCCTGGGCACAAGTGGTTGATGCATGGCATAAAAAAATCCGCAGTTGCTGGCTGCAGTTATTTAGCTATTATTATTCTGCTAGATTATTTAAGTGGCTGGATACAATAGTTTCCACGTGATGTTTTAATTGCGCATGACTCGCGGGAAAACAGCAATGCGCATGCCCAAAACCGTGGCGGATGACACAAATTCGATTCCAGGTGAGTCTGATTATTGTTGACGTCATATGCTCGTAGTTAGCAACAGTTACAGAAAAGAGAGTGCATTTATCGTGAACGTGTGGTTTATCTTTTACAGCACAATGTTGAAAGTCTGCCTTTTGAAGAAAAACTAAACACCTCAGTGTCCCCCAGCCGCGGGATATTGTTATAAACCAAAATGGAAAAAAAAATATTCAGATTTAAAAGTGTTTCTCCGGGAGATAAACGGCTAACTGCTAACTGCTAGCTTGTCAGGGAAGACTGTTGTTATAGCACCCCGTCTGTTTCACTCACAGGGGGATGGTATCCGGAGAACAACAGACTTTCAGGATGTCAAGCATCTTTATGAAAACATGAAAGCAGCGAGGAGGGTGTGTCTGCAGACCTGGAGACTGCAGATTCAGACCTGCAGATCTGGACCCGCAGTTCTGGACATCTTGTATTTCGCGACAGCGCCCTCTATTTCATTGGAAGCCAACATACTGTTAGCTACACCTATTGAATATGGCCGACGACGATCTGAATGTGAATCATATTATTTGTTTAAACTATTTTGTTGACTTGAATTAGAGAGCAAACTTCATGTTTTACAGTGATACGTTTAAAATGATATGACTGTCTTTACCACGATAGTCTGAAAGGCACGTCAAATATGGGTTAAAGTAGTAGGTAATAGTTTAGCTTGTTAGCAATGAACTGTTTGACCTGCACATTTTGTTTCATGAAACCGAAGCGCGATGACGAATAATTTTAGCATGTGCTTTAAATTAAACATGAATAAATGATTAAAGCAATGAAGTGGATGATATGAGAAAAAATGTGTATAGGCTTACGTTTTCATGTATATCATGTAATACACCTTTATTTTTTTAATATATTTTTTCCTTTATTATTCATAATATTATATATCACGTGTGTTTATATCACTACATTGATATTACTCTAAAGCATATATTTAGAGATTTTGTAGATAGAAATTAAGCTCATCCAGCGCAGATGATCAGAAATGTATTTTTGTCTATTATTAGGTTTTGGCCTTGTTTATGTGTGTAAAACGGTTGAAAAATCTTAACTTTGAATAATTAGGAACTCTCTTTTTCAGGTGCACATAACAATCCAGAAAGGGGAAACCACAGTGAAGTGGAGGAGTTTTGTGGAGGATCGAAAGGCAGATGAGGAAGGAAGGGGCACTATTGTTAATATGTCGATATAATAATGTATTTGCTATGCTCCAGAATCTTCAGTATTTCAGTGTAGACTGTGATAGGTATTTAATTTTTTTTTAAGTGTTTCTGTTTTCAATTTTGTGATATGTTTGATTTCTTTTTTTTCTCTGCAGATCTCCCTGATGTGTGATGTAACCACTGCACACAATAAAACATTTCAAACCATTTCAGTATTTCACAGCCTTTGTTTCAAATTCCCACAACAAAAGTGAGCACTGGACACCCAAGACCAGACATTTCCTATTATATGTTGTAGCGGGTTTGATCAATGCAGTGCAAGTTTTTGGCGTGCCAGTCAGAGCAGTCTGATGATTATTAAGAAATAAAGAACTAAAATAGTTGGCTCAAACCATACAAAACAACCAGCAAACAATAATAATGCAGAACAGCACCCAGGCATAAATCAACAATTAAATCTTGGTATTTTTATTCGGGTGTAATAAAATTTTAAAATTGTAAATTGTAATAAAGCATGAAAAGTCCAACTTCTTTCAAACAGTGGTGTTTGGGTGAGACGCTGATTTAGTTGCAGTTATACAGCCGTCCAGTAGGGGATGAAAAACAAGGGGTCTAGAACTACGGGTCCAGAATTGTGGGTCTGAATCTGCAGTCTCCGGGTCTGCAGAGACATACTATTGAAAGCAGCAGGAAAACGCAGTAATACAAATGGGGAATTGAGGTGTGCAACCGGACGTCAAGAAAAAAAGGTAAGTACTCAGTCTGTTATCAGCTGTATCAACTGTATTATAATATGTATTACGTCAAATTGTGTACTTTTCCGGTTTCACATCTGTGCAAAGTAGTTGTTACTCTATCTATCTATCTATCTATCTATCTATCTATTTATCTGTCTGTATGTGTTGGGTAGTTGTGAAGTACATGTAATTACATTTTTCAGTGGCATGCTGGTAGTTCAACTATACTCATAGTTGCATAGCTATTCAAGTAATTAAATTACCATTTTGCCATTTTGTGTAATTAACTACTGAAACTACAATTTTGGACCTTGAAAGGAATTTTTAAATTACTATTTTACCATTGCTTCTTTACTGTAATTACTTCATTATCGTTTGAACCCAGAATTAGTCATGAGGTATTTATTACTGCTATAACAGATGCTCAGAGAAGTTGTTGCATTGTAGAAGTTACCTGGCTAATTGAGTCATCCTGCTTGGTGCAGTATCCCCACCTGGAGCCAGATGCATTAAACTCTGTGTAGATTCATGACTAAAACTGTGTATGCATAGAGGAGGTAATATGCATACGTATTATTTTCGTCAGATTTATAGAGCCTCATTCTGTTTTATAAATCTCAATCATTGTGGCGCTGTGTGGAAAAAGGCATACCCAGGTTTTTTGTGCATACACACTGGTTGTGCATCTGGCCCCTGGACTCTTTAGTTTCTGAGGGCAGGTGTCAGACTGATGGACATTGTATACAAAACCAAAGCTGACATTCCTTTTACTTTCCCATGAATAGTGGTATATTATCTTCCGCTCTCTCTTTTTTTGGTTTATGTTTGACCTGTGAACAAGTGAACACTTTTTGCAATGAACTCAACGGAGCAGCATTTTTTGCTGGCATGTGACTTTTTTATATTATATTTTGATCACACATACATTGTCAATTTGATTATTTTTTACAAAGTAGTTTGAACTACTTTTTCTAAGTAGCTTTAGTTAACCAAACTAGATTTCTCTCTAGGATATGTTTGCTGTAGGTCATCTTCTTCCAGTGTGATGTGTAATTGGTAGCTTGCAAAGCAATGTTTTCAAAGTGTCTTCCATAGCACTGAGGATCAGAGATCAGCCAGTCATGTTCTGCTGACATAGAGGTTCTTTGCCAACTATAGCTGCTTAGAAAAAGGCAGTGAAAGCAGCCAAAAAATATTCTTTGCATGCCGTGACTTTAATATTTTTGGCAAGAATATGGTCAGTAAGACAACATCTGCACATATGGGCTCACATCAGTCAACATTTACCATGCCTAACTGACACATATATCTCTACATGCCTACCTGACAAATCTAATGCCAAAACTAAAATAATAATGTATGAAGGTAAAGCTACTTGTGAGAATAACACCGTGTCTGTACCTGAGTGCCTGTGGAAGACGGACTGGCCACATCGCCCTCTGACCTCTCCTCCAAGCTCTTCACATTTATGCCATCCATTACACCTCCCAGCCCCGGCTCAGTCTTCAGCTACAAAACAAAACACAAATCGTGTCACCTCTGCAGTCCCTGCCTGTCAAAGTCATTCACATCCATACAATTAACACAGATTTTAATCCCAGGAAATATCAAAGTGTGCACTGATATTGAAATGATCTGACTGCTTTGTAACGTGATTGATAGAGCCGTCTTACGTGTCCATGCTTGGGTGGAGCGTGGAGCCGAGGATTGTGGGGGGGTAAGCGGGAAGCTTGGCAGGGGCCTGGTGTGTGCCCACCCATAGGCGTCCCCCCACCTCCTCCATACATGGAACTCTGTTGCCTGGATTGGCAGTTTATATTGCTGGAATAGCCGAGGGATGGACTGTGGAGTAAAAGCAGCAATATGACAACTCTGTAAAAGCTGATGGAACTGGTCAAATCAAAATTTATACAACCACTGGCCAGTGGTTTAGGGATGTGATTACTTCATGCTCACACTAGATGGTGTTTGAAAGTAGAAGATAAATGTTGGATGATTAATACTGGTTTGCTAATGTGGCCAAAGGAGTGCTGAGGAACTAAAAGCAAACTTCATGCCTCAAAGTAAAACACTGCATATTGTGATTTTAAATTCAGGGAATGTGCAGCATGTACTTTGAATCCAGTACCTTGAATATTAGACCCTATGGTCTGAGGTAGTGTATATGGATATTGCTGCATCATAAAAGCATTTTTGTGCTTATTATAGAACAGGGAAATATCTGACCTCATGGCGCTCACAGAAAGATGGCCATAAGAGCTGGCCCCATTAGGGTTACAGCGAGAGTTGACAAAGGCCACCAGGGAGTTGGGTGATGTCCTGATCACTGTCTGCAGGTCTACACTGGCATCAGACAGAGGAGAGATGGACAGAGCTCTCTTTTTACTCAGCTTCAGCATTGAACGAGGTGTGGAGAACCTCGAGCCTGAAAGAGGGACAGAGGACAAGAAGAGCAGCAGGGTTAGCTTTCATGATATGAAATCATAAAAGATAAGATTTATATTTAGAGGACACAATAGGAGGAGTTAGCTTACTGTCACCTGAGCCGATTTGATCAGAGCCAGGCTGAATCTGGCAGAAGTTGTGATGAGAGGACATCATGTTGTTCTGGTTACAGTAGGGGGTGCTGTTGCCACCTGTTGGAAATTAAGTACAGTCAGAAACACTGAAACATACCACTGAGAAGATCCACATTAACATTTTGTAGGATAAGGATAGGTCTTACTATACAAAAACTGCATTTGTGAAGGCAGTTGACTCACAGTCATGTCGACATCTCATTTAACATATGCACTGATGCCTCTTTATGCTTGATGTTTTGCGGTTGTTAGTTTTGAAAGTACACAATACTTAAGTTAGTTTAGTTTATTTCCCATAAAGTCTAGTTTTTATTTATTGCTACAGTTAACTTAAATTATTTTCCACACAAAGATCTAGTTTTAAGTTTAGTTTTTGTTTATGATAATAGCCTTGTGCTCAGTGTGTTGGCAGCTTAGGTTTCAAGATATGGATGACCTATTACTGCCGTACGTTATGCAGAGAAATGAAAAGAACATCATAGGGATATGGGTTCCCGAAATTCTTCAGAGTCAAGAGAAGTTGGGTGAATCCAACGCACACTCTGTTAGGAGATTTGTTGTCTTTTGAATGCAGATTTTATCCATACTTTTGAATGAGTTAATATCAATTTGACAGTGTCCTGGTGATTGGAAAAGAGGACATCAGTGTCGATAAAACAAACTTCAGAGACCCCATCAGTGGCAAAGATCGTGTGGCAGTATGTCTCAAGTAAAAGACGTTGATTTGAACATCCTGTAAATTCAGATGGATTTTGATTTGCTGTCAGTTTTTCTGTTGTTTATCAAATTGATCTGGAAGGGATCCCAGCGTTATCGCTCACCACTGTCGTTGTCGTAATAGTTGTAGTGTGGACTCCGCCATCTGCTTGAGTTAGAATGTTTTTTTTTTAATTCTACATTTACAGTTATTGTTAAAGTTATCGTTTGGTGGACATCCCTTAACCCTGTACGTGCTCATGTTTAACACATCATGTTGACCTGCAGTTTTCTCCATCTTACAAGAGCTGATTGGTTGAGCAGGAAAAAAAGCCACACAACAATCATGTCATTTCAAGTTTTACTGTAGGTACAGCTGCAAGAAGCACTTGTAAAATCCAGCTTTTCTGAAATGACAAGTGAAGAAGAGACAGTTAACTACCCTGGGAGGTTTTATAGTCTAGACTCTTTCCTCGTAGTTGTTTTTTTTTTTTTAGAGGAGATGAGACAAAACAGGGAGAACTGGTAAAATAAGTGAAGTAGAATTGACACACATTGTAACACAATGCAACAGTAATCAGCTGACATCTGTTAAGTATTTGTACTTAGATTCTCTATTATTTGTGTATTTTATGTTTACGTGGTCTACTTTAAATCGCTGGTCCATTTTAGGTTCCTGAGTAATTTAAATTAGTCCAAGCTGCTGTTTTTCTGCAGAGTAGAAGACACGATTATATCTCAGGAGTAAAACCTGCCTGTCTTTCCTTTAGTAGAAATCAGAGTAGTCTCTTCTCTGTTTCTTACTCAGTCTCTCAGGTATCTTTCAGCCCAAATCAGAAGCAGCTGTGCGATTAAGGAGATGTAAAAGATACTCTGACTCACCCTCTGTGGGCGGCATGCCCCGGTGGCCCATCATACTGTGTGGCGGTGGGGCCTGAGGGGGCCTCATGTATTGATCCATGCAGTGGCCAATCCCCTGTCCTGGGCCTGATCCGTGAGTCATACTGGGAGTCATGGGATTATACATAGCGCGGCAGTCTTGGGGAGGGCCGTTGAGGAGCGGGGCACGCAGCGAGGACACATCACTGTAGGGAGACTGGTCTGATGGGACTAGGCTGCAGATATCAAAGAAACACAGTTCATAATTATGAGAAATAATCTAAACTTAATGTCAAAGATGGCAACTGCAAAAAGACATGATGGGCTGAAAAAGTAGGAGATGTGAAAGAGGTTGACCAATAGTGGATTTGTTTTTGGATCAAGCTCTTTTTTATTTTCAAATATAAAGAAAAGCGGACAACTTGAACACAGAACAATTACATCAAATCTCTGTATAGGAGCTTGCTTACATCGATCATATATAGGGTCGATGTCTGTCTCAATCTTAGATAATCTGTCTTTGGTCCAATGAAGATAATGCACTATTTCAAACTGAACCACAGTGTGCCTAACACATATTGAAGAGGAGTAAATTCTCTTTAATTTTTTGCCAAATTGTTTCTGAAGTTGTTTGATCCTACTCCTCTATACATAATGGAGAGTAAATTTGGGCTTGAAATGTACTTATGTATCTAAATAGAAATTTTACTGGTAGTGGTTGAGGGATGCAAGTCACTGAGAGACAGAAAGCATCACAGAGGACCATATTCAGTTGTGATAGGTGAGCAGATTGGAGACCCTGAAGCGACACAGGAATTATATAATAAATAAATGAGGATGATGCATAAAAACAATATCTAAATTCTATCAAAACTGAATAAATAAAATTGCAATAATACATGTTGAAAGAATATTATATAGCACTGAGTGTCCTGTGTCACTTTTGGGCCCAGATAAGTGAGGGAAGATTATGGTAATTGGACAGCTTCTATAAATACCACATTATCTATAAGCTAAAATAGCTATAGTAACTTTTAACAGGTGGTGTACAGCCTGGAAAGCAGCTCTGCCTGAAGAGCTGAAGGCGAATCTCTTGTGATGTCTGGTTCTCACCACTAGATGGGGCATCGTCCTTATGTTGGTCCACACTGTGGAAACTTACTCATCTGGGTTTTCCCCGACCAAACTAGAGAAGGGAATCTTCATTGGAACTTTCCAGCCTTCTCATGAATTTCAATATTTTTTCTGACCTTTCATCAGTCCCACTGGTCAGTTCAAAATCTGTCTCTCCTCTTCTTTTTCTCCTCTCCTAAAGGGGCAGACTTCATCCATCCACCTTCTCCTAAATCGCCCTTTCAGTTCTTTAATTCTTTCACCGCAACGTGTATTCCACACAGGAGCTTAATCTGTCCTCTCTAATCCACTGTGCTAGTCCCCCCCCGACTCTACCTCTCCCTCCCATTCTCACTCCTTTCTCCCATTCATCCCTTCTGTTCTCCTTCTCTGTTCCCCCCCCCCCTCTCTCTCTCTCTGTCACTTTCTATCTCCTCTTCCTCCCTCCTCCTCCTCCTCCTGCTCCTCTGTCATTCTCTGTCCCAACCAGCCACCTTTCTCTCCATCTCTCTCTGTTTCTCCCTCACTCCGGGTAACCTGAGCAGGGCGCGAGGCAGTCATGCAGAGCGCAGCAGGGCCTGGTCAGCCTGTAATTAGCAGCTGTCAGAGAGAGGCCGAGTCCGCCCGCAACCTGGGTGGCATGAGGGAGGGAGGGGAGGAGGGAGGAGAGGGGGAGGAGTGAGGGGCTGAGCTAGCACTGTGTCCACAACAATTGCAGCAAGACCTGGGCTTCTGCACCCTCAGAATATCTGTGTGATTAAAATAGGAACAGTTTACGAGCCTCTAAGATGAGTAGGATCCTTGCTTCTTAGAGACGGACTGCTGTGATTTCTGAGAAGATTGATCTGTCTCAGCATAAAGACTGGAGGCAGGGGGAAACGGCTTGCCTGGCTGGGTCCAAAATTAGAAAATGTGCCTACCAAAACCTTTAAAACTTATGGACATGATGTCAAACCTGTACAGAAACACAAAACAACTATTTGTGATTTCAGGGGGAGTGCTAATAGTTCATGCCGAGCCTGAACTTCTGGAAGTCTTCTCATCACAGTGAGGCTGCCAGGTTTTATACAATCGTGCCGATCATATCTGTCAACTTGGCTTGCTGCTGTGGTCTGTTATCAGTGTAACACTGTGTTCTGGCACACAACAATTAGTCGAAATAAAACTGATTTAGTTCATTTTTGCTTATCAGCAGCCTTCATCAAGAAAAAAAACTGATGATACTAAAAATACTAAGCATACTATCAGTGCTTAGTCAGACTAAGTGTGTGCTCTGTACAGCAGCAGAGTCACAACACAGAGCTCTGCGATGAGGTCAATTATACCGACTCTACCAACTTGTTAACCAAAACAACTGCAACATAAAATTCAACAACATAAAATATAAAATATACCCCAAGCTTTTGTATGATCCCTGCAATGCAACATGCACGTGTAAGCATCCATGCAGCAAAGCCAAAGTCAGTGTTGAGCTGTGTTCAAACAATGCATGCTTCTCTTGGGTCGCAACTAATCAGTTAAGCATGCTGTGGTCAACTGGTCACTAAAAATAAATTGGCATGATCAGTATAGTTTCTGAGCGGCAAGGTGATACAGTGGTTAGCACTGTCACCTCTCAGCTGGAGGGCCCTTAGTTCACATTCAACAACCGGCTGGGTCCAAGAGCTAATATTACTCAGTTTTTATGAGTAATCAGTTGTGTCATACAATGAGAACGTTAGGTACTCTTTACCTAATTAGTTGTAGTGTATCAGTTTTTTAGGTACTCTTTACTCAGGACATGAGATTAAATCTACCTAACCATACTGAGCGTAAATCTTTACCTCACCTTTATTGAGTAGACTCTATAGGTTTGTTTTAACACTGTACCAGGGTGACCTCAACCCAAAAGTTGAGGAGACCAAGAGGATGATAGAGAAAGAAGCAGTCATCCTCGGGTTGGATAAGAGGGGGATGAAGAGGACGAGGGGTCCACTGAGCCAAATCCGCAGCCAAAAAGATAAAAACCTTTGCAATATTATTGAAAAGAGAAAAAACAGGTGCTGCCTCAGCAACGCCAGCTGTTCCTGTTCTGATTTGTTTACAGTAAAGGGAAGATCTAAACTTTAAAGATCAAAGTAAGCGCTCTACAGATACTGAGTGTCATCGATGAACATCTTTGCCTGTAAAATGTCCTGCGTAATTGGCTACACTGGTGTTTCTTTTTTCCCTTTTTTTTCCAAAGATTATTTTTTAGGGCTGTTTGCCTATATTGACAGGACAGTTTGAAGTGTGAAAGGGAGAGAGAGCGAGGATGACGTGCAGCTCGATTCCATGTGGGCTGGAGTTGAGCCTGTGGCCGCTGCAGCAAAGACATTGCCTTTGTACACAGGGCGCCTGCTCTACCCATTAAGCTACTGGGCGTCCTAGGTGTTTCTTAACAGGTGGTAAAACGTTCTCACTGTGGCATCCCTACTGTCAACCCACGTATAGAGGTGCTCGGCGGATGAGCTGATGTTTATCAAGAAATGGCTCCAACATGTCCGCCTGCATTTATCTGCATGGCCCACATGTTGATTGATATCAGCTCTCACAGATATATCATTATTGTTATATATGTTGGCTAATGACTAAAAAAGAAATTGTGATACAGAAACGCCACTAATTTTTCTCTGCTGTGAGACATTTTAGGAATTCCCCATGACAAATAGGCTAGAGGTTAAAATGCAGCCACAGAGTAATATGAGTGAGGACGTGCACATGCTAACTGTCTTACCCTCTGGACGGCTGGCTGGGTGAGGTCTCGTAGTGATACAGCCCCTGGTGTGGCTGCATGTCCACTGGCATTGGAGCTCCGAGACCTAGCACTCCCCGTACACCCTGGACCTGACACACAAAGATGAGGACACGGTTAGGGTGAAGTGAGGAAACTCAAACAAACCCCACCAAACTAAACTAAAGTGCATGAGAATGAAAAGGCAAATAGACAAAAACAATTGTGGTTGGGGGGAAAAAAAGAATATGTAGGATGTTAATAACAGACCAAACCAAACCAAGCAAAACAGTTGAAGGGCAAAATAAGCTCCCTCTGAAAAGCTTGAGTCATACTTATTTTAAACAAAGCTGGTGAAAAGTACAAAATCATTACTTACGTAAAAGTAGAAATGTAAAACCGCAGTTAAACACGCTGGAAAAGTACATCCTGCGGTCTTAACTTACAGTGTGTTAAATACAGATGGTTAGAAGTCAGATTTTGTGAAGAATAAAAAGTAAAAGCATAGTAAACAATGTTAATGATGGTGCTGTACCTGCTTCAGTCTTTTACATTTTTACTGGATTACTTGTGAGTTTGGAATATCAAATCTCAATAGCAAAATGTTTCACAACTATAAAAGTTAGAGTTAAGAGTTTTGCGTGGTGCTTTTAAATTGCTGAGCACCTCAGGGTTTTGCAGGAGTGCCCGAATGTACACATGCAACATTTTTTGCACGCTCAGATTCATTGTTTTCAATGTAGACGCGTGGCAGGTGCACTCAAACACCAGAGGGACACTTTTCCAGTGTGCACATGTTCCCGAACACCTATTTTTCAGGGCATGATGGCTGCACCCTGAGATAAACTATGTTAAACTTTTTAAAAACACAGCAGCGAGCACCGCTTGTCATGTCATGTGACGAGGATCAACCAATCACAGCCAACATCAGTCCCAATATCTTTCCCTTCTTCTGTAAATATCAGTTTGTGATAAATATGGAGCAGAAGTTGATAATTTTAGTGCAGAGTTGCCAGAGCTTTACATCTGCCCCACTGACAATATTTTATACCAACACACTTAAAAACAGCGCCTGGAAGAAGATCAGCTCTGCACTCAGGATTTCTGGTAGGTAGGCTAGGATATGGCGCCTGTTATGGTTGCCTAGCAACCTCAGACACAACCTGCCTCTGCACCCTGAAGAGTTGGCACAGAGTTGGCACAAGAGTAGTGCCCAGCGCCTGACCTCGCATTTTCCAGGCACTTAAAGACACAGCATGTGTACGAGCCCTTAAGTTGAAATATAGTTATGCCAGAGCGGAACAGTCCAATATTGTCCAATCAGATGAATTGAGGGGCGTGTCTTCTGTGGTGGTGATGACAAGTGGTAGCATATAGCGTTAAGCTAATGTTGGCTCATTTTCATTGTAGGTTTAGGCAAGCTGCAAGACATATCTGAACGAATGTTGCCTCAACTACTTTCTAACATTTTACCAACTTTAATCAGACTCCACGACGCACAGCAGACTGTCAGACTGTCCGTGATTCATCCTAAAATAAGCCTTGAACTGACGAACATCCAGGCAAAGCTCCTGGACCAGCTGGTGGTAGACCTACTTCCTGTGATTTCTCCTTTTTCTGAGGGTTGCATGTAGTCTACACACACACATATCCGTTTCCCTGTGTCCAGTCCCCGTGCGCCCACCACCTGTCCATGTTATGTAGATTTTAAGGTACAGATCTGAGAATTAACATCACAGAAAAATAGCAGTTGAGCTAAGGACAGGTGGTTGCCTAGCAACAATAAAAAAAAATTTAAAAAAAATACAGCAAGCTGCAAATCCCGTTCAGTCTGATCAGGGCCTGACTCTTGAGTTTCCCTTCTACAGTCACACATTTATAGAAATATTATCATCCAAAGCTCAGTTTAGACAAATGAAACCTGACATCCATTCATGATTACATAAAATTAACAGTGTCCCTTAAATAACAGCTTGAATTGGTGTAAGGAATAGACACCTCTCAGCTATGGAAATAAGACATGTATACGTTAAGAGACTTTAAAGTCAGTCATGTGATGGTACTGAATGTGCCCTGACACACTCCTACAGATTAGACAAAACCCCTGTGACACAAACAGTGGGCTTGGCTCTAATCTCTCTTCTCTAAACAGTGTCGGCACCTCAAACACCACTGACAGACACTAAAATCCTGCCGCACCTTCTCATCCTGGAAAGTAGCGATCACCGTGGAAAAGGCATAGAGAAGAAGAAAAAAAATGGGGTTATGCCTCATAGCCTAAAAGACAAATAGTGACGGGATGCTAGCAACACAAACAGAGAAAAAGTAAAGTGGAACAAAGCAGTCTTTTGTGTGAAAGTCGTATTGAGACGGTATCTTTCAGCAGGAGTAAGGTGAGATAATTCTAGCTGAGAGATTTGGGGAACAAGCACCTGCTCATTACATCCAACCACATCAGTGCAGGTACTAATAGTCGGGACTGTGGGCTCTTACATGGTTACACAGGTAATTAGGATCAAAAAATTACTGTACACACTGATGTCACAGCTACCGCAAATGGAGATAAGCCAAAAATTGTATGATCATTCTGATCGTTCAGAATGAGCTACATTAAATATACGACCACAAACTTAATTCGCTACAGTCAGATGGCTGAGAGGACTACTCTATATTTTTAAATGTACTTAAATGCTTTCATGTCATAGAAAGTCCTCTTTACAAAAAGATGTTATTTTGTAATTGTTTTACAAAACTTTTATTTTACATTGTAATTATTTTAATTTATCTATCAAATTATTTTTCCTAATGGTAATGCTGTAATGGCTTTTTATTGTTTTAAAATTGGTATTGCCTATTCTCTGTTCTCTATTTTTTCTTTTCCTTTGTTTCTATAATTAACTAAATGGCGTTGTAAACACAGTTGTCCCTCAACGATCTTTTCAGTATAAATAAAGGTTGAATAAATGAATTCTCCTCATGGTAACATCAACTAAATAAAGGTTTTAATCATGTAATTATTCCTCTTTTGAGGCCAAATCTATATTTAAAGTTTATACAACACATTTGGTGCCTGGAATTATACCGTTTTTATCTCTGTTAAAATACCAGTTATTGAAGGAAAGAAGAAAAGCATTAATATAAAAGGTAATTCCAGACTTTTTAACAGCAGAGTATATATGTATTGCATATTTATTTTTAACACATCCCATAAGAATACATCAAAACCTGACAGAATCCTTTTGGCAGTATTTTTAAACCCTTTAAATCCTAGACACACTTGTCTCTTGTGTAGTAATATTTTAAATAGTAAATAGTGCAATCCACTGCTTATCAAGTGCAATCCACTACGTCTTAGTGCAATACTCCCTTTATTAAGTGCAATCCACCATTTATTTTACATTAACAACAGCTTCATACAGCCAGGTTTTATTACACTATTTATGTCCACTTTCATGAATAATTATGTCGTCTGTTTTTTTTTAATTCGCTTTTTTTACTGACTGGTTGGAGCCTGATCAGATGTAGCACTCCTAATTTTGTTGTATATTCTTTGTACAATAACAATAAAGGCTTTTTATTCTATTCTATTTAAAAATGCAACATTAAATATATACTTAGATTTTATCCACCACATTCTTTAACTCTGCATTTCAATCTTTGTCTGTGCATGTGAAATCAAAATGTCACATTGCTGCTGCTCATGTGACAAGTGTTCAAACCCAAACTGGGAAAGCTGCTGTCCGCTGCAGATGAAAGCTCTGTGGTCTGAGCCTAACAGGTTGCCAGGCCTGTTATGTAGTAGCACAAGTGTTAAAAGGGCAGTAGGGACCTATTTAAGCCCACAAGCCACCAGGGGGATTTGATACGCAAAGTTAGCAAGCGGCTAAATGATGTGGGCGGTCCGGGCCTAATTGCATATATTCAGCGCCTGCTTCGGATGTGTGTATGATAATTAGCCGGAAGCGCTAAATAGAGATCTCGCCGAGCACCTCAGCTGTCCAGAACTCATAAATACCGAGAAGGGGGTCGCCAGACAGCCTGTCACACACACACACACACACACACACACACACACACACACACACACACACACACACACACACACACCTGTCAGTCTCGCCAGGGGGTAGCATAATAATCCAGTGGCCACCAAGTCTGCAGAGAATGTGTGTGTGAGAAAGAGTGAGTGTCACTGTGAATATAGCGAAGCAGTTTGTACTGTGTAAGCACAGTGGCAGGTGTGTATGAGAAGGGAGTTCTGGAGACAAGTGTATTTGCAGTGCAGTGTGTATGTGTGTGTGCGTGTGTGTTAGAGAGAGTGCGTTTGACATGATAAATGGTGGTGGATCTCAGAGTAAGAGTGAATAATGTATGAGACCACCTGCGCAAAAACAAGCTGGAATCTTTTTTAAAAATATGTTTGCGAGCGTTTCTCCAGGGAGCAGAGCAGCGAGTGAGTGTTACTGTTGTAGCTCCGTGTACACACACTATAAACTGTGTGTCGTGTAATTAATTTGCATGGTACATAGAGTATGCTCTTATCCAGCAAATTACTGTGAACTAAGCGCAAACATAGAGTAAGTCAACAGAATTAATGTGGACCAAGTCTGGGGATCCCTGTCTTCTGGAAATGACATTTTATACACTAAATTTGCACATTAAAAATGTCAAGTTTATATAATTTATCAATATAATGAGGAAACCTTTTTGATTGACACATCTGCCAAGTTGCTAAATTGCTGATACTGAACATTTGCAAAATGTCAAACAACAAATCCCATGTATAAATGTGTAAAACGTATGCTTACACCTACTGTACGTGCACTTGTATGTACTTCTGTGCAGCATGTAAGCACACAAAGATGGATGATTTCTTAAATGCATGGTGCTCCTGACACAGGTGTCGTGGCATTGTGCTATTTTAGGTCAATATCTTGTGAGAAACTCTCAGGGAGTTTGCTCTCCGGTGTAATTTTGTGGTGCTGGGTTTTAGAGGGATGGGGCAGGAGCATATTAAAAACCCCAAGGCCATAAATCAAACGGCTAACTAAACAAGTCTGCTCCACTGCGGCACAGCAAGCTGGGCAGGAACCAAGGAGCTGAGGATGAGGAC